TTTAAATAAAATTTTTATTTTTTATTGAAATTTTGAATTTTCTTTTATATTTTTTATATATACTTTTCAATTTTATTTTATGTTATAATATACATTTAAACATTATTAATGTTCAAATGTTTATTATATTGCGCCCTCCCCTAGTTATCAGTGTGTATTGCGGAACTCAATTTAAAAATAGTTACCTATTTTAGGCGAGTCAGTAGGGTGTCTGGGGGTGCTTTTTTATCATGAAATTTAGCAAGTAGCAAGAAAAAAGGTTATTGCTAATGTCTGAAAATATTAGAAAGATTCTCAGTCTCAGCATTCCTTTAATACATACCTGTCAAAAAGTCTCAGCATTCCTTTAATACATACCTGATGCATAAACAACAAGAAGTTTTAAAGAGTAATAAAATTAATATAAACAAAATTAAAAGAAAAAAATTTATCTTGATACAAATTTCTAATAGAATAACCGAGCAAAACATGTTCATATCATGCTACTCTTAAAAATACTGAAAAAAGTGTGGCACTTAATTTAGACAAAGAAAATGGTTTCCGTTAAGGTCAGATCTGCACAGATGCAAATTTTATTCCAAAATAAGGTTACCAGACTCTGGGTCAGATCTGCGCAGATGGAAATTTTATTCCAAAATAGGGTTACCAGACTCTGAATTTTATGAAAGAGAAAACAATAAAATCTTGATTTTTATTTGTTAGGCACTGTATTCTCTCTGGTATAACCAGGACATATGGTAAGCCTATTCCAAAATTTGTGAAAGTAAAACTTTAGTGATTTCACAATTTTGAAACATAGGACAAAGAGGTCAGATGCTGATAAAGAAATCAAGTTTTATCTACAATAAATTTACTTGATATTAAATCTATTGAACCATTTTGAAGTTAAATCTTTATTTGCAGTACATTCCTTCTCACAAGTTAAGAGAGTGTATAATTTTTCAATGAATTATATATGATAGTCTTTAGACATTTATGCTTATATGCTATTGAATTACTTGTAGATATGAGAAGGAAATTTACTCTAGAATGTCCTATATCATGGTATTTTAAAGAAATAATTAAATAGCATATTTCTTATTTACTTGCAAAAAACAGCACACTGTAGTGCACCTCAATGTATAACATTTTCAATATTAATTATTTTTTAGCTGTTATAAAAACATTCTTAATGAAGAGTATACTGTTTTTTTGTATAAAAGTTATTATATTTTAATAAAAAATTTTAAAAATTAATTTGTGTTTTTTATTTATTTTGAATTGTTGTAAAACTAAATAAAAGCTATTGTGATTCAACAAATTTTATTTGTTTGTATTTTTTGTTTGAGCATGATAAAAGCACACAGGAACTTTTAAATCAATTCCCATACTGAGTTGATCCAGAAAAACTACTAAATTGTCAAATATCGTCTAAATCTATAGTTATATAATTTTAAAAGAGCGTTGTTAACATTATTAAGTGCTGAAATTTTTGCCAAACAGTTAGTGCAACATGCAATGTACAATATTTTATATGTGTAACACACAACGCACAATACGCTTATCAAATATATTTGTGTTAAATTATAATAATATATCTTACAAAGAAAACATTAGCATTAACAGAAATGCTAATGAAAACCTTTGTTTTCAAAAAAAACAACAAATGGTTCAACCAATGATCAACAAAAAAGCATTTACATTGTAGTGAACATTGGAGTAAAGTGTTTTGTATTGATGAAAATAAATTCAATTTGTTTATATCTGATAATATTGTGTTTAGTTTAAAATTAAGAAAAAATTCTCTGTACGCTGTGCTAAGGATAAAACAGTAATCATTGATGTATCTACATTTTGACACTGGTATACTGCTGGATATAGTTTTAGCATAATATATGAAATATAGGGTAAAAGTATATATACATACTCCCTTGTCAATAATTTAAGCTTAAGTTGTGATTAAATAAGGTGCGTGCATAAAAAAAAGCTAGTGTGGTGTGGAAATATTTTTCTAGTAAATCTGATCTTAATGAATAAATCTAGTTATTCTAATTTAATTTAATTGAGATGTTTATCCTAATGAAAATCAATTCAACTGTATTGGGTTGACAAGGGCCTGAATACCATTGAATATTTACAAGAGACTTCGTTGTCAAGTTGTAGATGAAAATTATACTAACAAAAAGTACTTGGTGCCTGAAATGTTTTTTATTTTAAGTGTATAAAAATGGTTATAAATACTAAGTTTCATTTATTAATTTTTTTTATAGGAGGGTATTTTATCTGTAGAGATAGAATTATATTTGTCAACCAAATAAAAGCATATATATTGCCTATTTAATCATTTAATTAATAGTTCATATAGAAACAGGGAAACTCTAAAACAGAAAAAACTAGTACAAATCTGAAATAAAAAAGTTTCAATTATGAAAATATTAAACTTAATCAAACTGTAAGTTTGATTAAGTTTAATAAGTCCTTTCTGATTTACCTGCTGATCCAAGATTAAAAAAAAAACTTATTAACTCAAAAAATCTCTAAAGTATATAGAGTAGAGATGTGCCGGGTACCCAATTTGGATCTGGAGACCCGGTAATTTGGCGGTTTTACTGGGTACCCAGAATTGGCCATTTTGGTTGATGTACCTGGCACCGGGTATCTTTAAAAATATTTTTAACAGACTTAACCTTCAAGTGCTGCAACTAATAAATAATAGTAATAAAAAAAATTTGCTTTAGTGTTACTTAAAATTGTGTAGCAATATGAGGCGCCTCATAGGAAAAGTTACTAAGTCTTTATTTTTAGATATATGCGTTTTGAGAAAAAAATTTTGAAAAATTTGAATTCAATTTATTCTTTTTTTGAGCAGTTTTATCATTATTTAGTAATAGTTCTTAAAATAAATAATCAAAATATGCATTATTTCATTACTATGTTTAATCAACACAATTTTAAAGTATGTCAAACTTTTAATGTCATTTTTTACTGTAATTTCATTTTTTAAACACTTTCTTGAAAAACTATGTAGAATATTTAATATTGATGCTATCAAGCTAATTTTTGTTATATTTTGTGGCTTATTCCTAACTCTATGCAACTGTATCGGTAACTCCATTTCTAAGACTTGGTGCCTTTTGATGTTCCTCATATTAACTTCTTGATAGTTTCAGAAGTTGATAATTCCTATGTACTATCTACTATCTAGACATGTCTCCCTTAAATTACATTTTCGAATATATTTTTGCAAGGAGGTATAACAGCTTAGCTGGAGGGAGAACGAAGCCAAAAACGAATTTGAATCGCATTACTGTCTTTGTAGTATAACTATTCCAGTAGCAAGTCAAAATAGTACTTTTGCAAAAAAATGAAAATTTTTGAAATGTAATCAGTAAGCTTTGAGAGTTGTAATTGAAATGGATTAATAAAATAAAAGTTTGTTGGTTTTTAACAACTATTCGATCAATCAAGAAGTTAATTAAAACAAAAATCACGGTTAAGGCGAAGTAATTGTTTCTTGCATACCTCAATTATTTTTTGCTTGCCTGTTCAGCTATAGGTTAGTTACGTTCTTTAAGACCGTTCTTTCTGCCAGGAATTTATTAAATCCCTCCAGTATTTTATTTTGTGTTGGAGTATTTTTGCTGGATTTAAAAGCAAATTGCTTTATTCTAAATATAAAATACAAAGCAAAAATATAAATAGATATAAAATACATGGCAAAAATACTATTAATATTTATCTAGACATTTATTAATTCAATTCTAATCTAGAAATTTATATTAGTTGTTCAATAAGCACAACAAAAAAATAACATTAACTGACTTAGAATATTGTTTAAAAATTTTTTTAACTTCCATTTTTTTATTTGCAATGCTTTAATTGCTTATTATGTTTTGAAATAATATCATTGGATAGTTTTGATAAAAGTAGAATGTGATTGGTTAACTTTAAATTATGATAATTCTGTGGTGTTTAATAGAAAATTATGTTACTACTAAGACTGTTCTTTGAGAAATGACATTTTTAACTTAGGCTACGCTATTATAACTCCTTGATTTTTGCTATATTATATTGCAAAACGTTGATAGCAGTTAATATTGCAAATAGGAAAGATATTTATACAGATATAAAAATCGTAAAGTAAAACGAAATAATATGAGAATACAAAAGAAATAAAAAGAAAAATAACAATTGCTTTTTTTTTATTGCTTAGAACGCAAGAGAAATGATCCTTAACAATAAATAAACGTTTAAACAAACAACCTTTTATCCAACATAGACGATTTTCAACTGAATTTTTCCCCCATGAATTTTGGGAACTCGGACAAGAAATCAATGGTTTTTGCTGGACGGGCGACACGATTCTCAAAGTGGGGGTACACCACCACATTTCTAAAAAGATTCCTCAATTTTTTACAAAAAAGTTTCAATTTCCTAAAAATAAATAAAGAAGGTCCATACAAAAAAAAAGTAGGGGGAGGGGTGTGCCTCCTCAGAAATGAGAGAGGGCACCCTCCCATTTGTTTCTGATGCCAGCTATCTACCACTGCGCCACGGCTGCTAAAATCAAAGAAATATTGCATAGTTTTAGGAAGTTTTATATATTTTTTAGCTGTTTTTAAAAATCTATTTTCAGTTCAAATAAAGGTTTCAATCAATTATTGTCAGAAAAATTATTTGATACTTTTTACTTACTTCAAACGCTAATAACGCCTTTCATTTGTCGCGAACAAAAAATCATTAAAGAAATTAAAGCAAAATATAGAAAAAAGTGTTGTCTAAATTATTTTTGATTTGATTAAATTTTTTTTATCCTTAATTTTTTTTAATGGACTCGATGCTGGGTACCCTGTCTCTAACCCGGTTTTTACTACCGGATATCCAGAATCGGGGACTCAGTATTTTCTGGTTCTGGCACACCTTTAATATAGAGAAGGTAGGTATAGATCTTGCTAACCCAAAATATTACTTTTTATTTATTAATAAAAAAGTTATTTGAACTAATTTTTATTCTTGTTTAGTTACTTCTTCAGCAAGACAACACTCAATATACTGTCATACCTGTCAGTGGTAAAGATGAGCTAAAAACTATATATAATGAACACAAAGATCAAGTATGTTTAATAAAATAGTTTTAATAAACTGTTACAACCTTAAGATATGTATATATAGGGTTATTCCATATAAAATCAACTAATGGTCACAAAGATAGCACTTCAAATTTGCTTCAAATTTTGACCACCTACAGTTTTTATAAAAAATTTCAATCTTGAAAATTCAGCTTGATTTATAATCTATTTTTGCAGATATTTTTTTGACTGATTTCAACAAATTTGGGGAAACTCAAAATTGCTTTTGTTTACTTAGGCTACTTTTGTGTAGCAGTGCAGTGCTAATTTTTTGTTACTTTTGTGTACTTAGGGTAACCACAGATGGTAAAAATCAAAATTATTCATTTAAAATTAATTTAGCATTGCAGCAGCCTTTTTTAAGTCACTTTTTAAAAAAAAGTATGGTAAATTGCATTCATTTTGCAGGTATAAAAAATAGTGTAACCAGTTAAAATAAATTATGAAACTTTTTTCTGTGACGTTTTTATATATAGACAAGCGCCAAAAGCGTTTTTACAAAGCCGGGATCAAGACTTAGGTTCTAAGAAGTCCAACATAATAAAACTAGGTTCTACCTGTTGACCAGCTTCGCACCCCTCTTTATTTATTAGGTTGGCGTAGATGTATTTATAATACACTGTTTCCAGTTTAGAATGATGAATATTGGATCTTTTTAACTCATTGCATGGGTTCTGCTTGTGTCTCTGTTTTTATGACTACACAACTTATTCTATTATCACTTAATGAGAGTACAGCTCAAGAACTCAGCTTTATGGTTCTTAAGCCAACTGGTAGTCAGGTTTACCGAACTCTGTCGTTGCTCTCAGAGAGGCCAATCTTATCAACAGCTGTTTTTATGACTAGACAACTCATCCTATTATCTCTTAATGAGGGTACAGCTCTAAAACTCAGTTTTATGGTTCTAAGGCAAGCTGTTAGTCAGGTTATAAATTAATAAATATTAGAGTACTAACAGAACCATGTTATGCATGAATGGTGTCCCTGTTTGTACTTTTGGAGTTTATTGGTGAGGCTACATTTGGAGCCTTTGTTACGGCTTAGGGTTTATTATTAGAAATGATGCAATTGATTGGACTATTAGTAGTGTACTATCTGTGCTTTGAGTTCTTTAGTCAATTTAAAAATGACTAAAGTATCAAAAACTATAAAACACAAAAAACCTATATCATAACCAAGTTCTCTAAATCTATCAATCACTAATATTCGTGGTCTTTGAAGTAAATTTTCTTCTGTTAAGACTTATCTCTTGCAAAGCTCACCAGATCTACATGCTCTTTGCGAGACGAATTTTAGTTCAGCTATCTCATCCTGTGATGAGACAGTTAAACTCAAAATAGATAGTGTTGATGGCTATCCTCCTTAAATTTGTAAAGACTCCAATACTCACATGCTTGGCCTAGGCATTTACATTCGTAAGAATTTACCCATTTGTTGAGAAACTAGGTTTGAATCCACAGATTATTCTTTTATATGCTTTCGTTCAGCTCCACTTCACTCTATGACTATGTTCTCTATTGCCCTACTACATCTCATGACTGTACTCTTTTTGATGTTATTTCTGATCAAATTAACCAAACCCTCTCTTTTCCTTCAGGCAATATCATTGTTGTTGGTGAATTTATTAATCATCACACTGAACAGCTTGGTTCTAGTGTCAGTGACTCTGCAGGTGTTAAGGTCCACAACTTTTGCCTTTATCTCTAACACAAATAGTCAGCTTTCCAATTTCCTTTCCAAACAATCTGAATCATTTACCTTCTCTACTCGATTTATGTCTTGTTTCTGATCCTAGTCAGTGCTCAGTTTCTTCACATTCACCCTTAGTTACTTCTGATCACGGTTTGATCTCTCCAAAACTGTTATCTCGTTCTCTTCATCATCAGAATCCACCTTCACTATCAGAATCTTTCTATCATCATTCTTTATCATCAGACTCTCCATATCATTGCACATCTTACAACTACCTTGAAGCTGACTGGGATTCTTTCCGTGATTTTCTTCGTGATGGCCCTTGGGTAAAAATATTTTGTCTTCCTGTTGACAAATGTGCTTCTTATATAAGTATGTGAATTCAGGCTAGCATGGAATCCTTTATTCCCTCTCGACGATTCCAGGTCAAGCCTCACTCTTCTCCATGGTTTTCCTTACATTGTGCTGCTGCAATTTCCAATCGTAACCATTACTTCCTTATCTATCGCCAAAACAATTCTCCAGAAAATAGACGACTATTTAATATAGCTAGAAACCACAGTAAAAAAGTTTTGTCTGATGCCAAAGCCCGCATGTCATGAAATCTTATTTTTCATCTTAAAAATTAGACTCCAAAGACCTCCGGAGTATTTTTAACAATATCTATAATAAGGTTAAATCTGTCATTCTACCTCTTCTACATGGTTCAGATTTTGCTACTTCACCTAGAGACAAAGCTGAAGTGTTTGCTAAACACTTTTCTGATTATAACTTGCCACGGCTAGTAAGTAACCAGAGCCCTGGCCCCGGCTAAAAATGAGACTTTTTTAAATCTGGTCCTGGTAAAATTATAAGATTTAGCAGGGATTAATAGCTGGGGCTAGAAAAATACTATTTATTAAATTACATCCTACCTGATATGTCCGACAAACAGGTTGATTCGTTACTTGGCATTTGTATCACTCCAGATTCTTTATCTAAGTTAATTTCCTGCTTAGAATCTTCCACAGCTTGTGGTCTAGACAACATACCTATTATTTTATCAGCCATTTTTACAGTTTACTTTATGCGTAAACAAAAAGAGTACATGTCTTTCTAGATACAACTAGTCGCCTTGGTTTTTTTTTTTTTTTTTTTTTTATATATATTAATTTTTTTAATATTAAGAGAATAGCAAATAATTTTTTTTTTTTTTTTTTTTTTATGTCTAAATAAAAGTATTTATACACTTATTTTTTATTTAGTTATGTATTTTTGTACATCATTCAAAAAAGAATACATAAACAAATAAAATAATAATAATAATAAATAACAAAGTATATGTCTTTGAATTTTCAAATTCAATTTATTTGATATGATTTTGGAATATTATTTGTTTAATTTTATGCATATAATATAATTATAATGATATATTTTATACATTCTGATAAGAGATAATGTATATAATACTTAAAACAGTAAAATGTTAAAAAAGTTTTTTTTGTTTATAATTTAACATGTTCTCTTTTTAAATATTTTAAGATTAGTTAAAAGTGACAGAGAAATGTTGTGTCATTTTATTTTGTTTTAAACAAAGATTATGACAAAATGTTATTTTGTAGACAGAAAGGAAGAATAAGACTAAAAAATACTTTATATACTCTGATTTGATATCAGAGTATATAAAGTCTCTAACAATGAGGGGTTTAGTGAATTTTTGACTAGGAAAGATGCTTTTGACAAATTGACATTTTTCTGATTTTGTTAATATCAACTTCAGAGCTTAGGGACCTTAAATGCAATCTAATAGAATACATTCAGAACTGATATTTGTTTGAACCTATACCTGTTTTCTACCAGTTCCAGAGATAGTTTTGTCTTTGTTAAATTCAAATCTGCTAAGATTTTTTTGAGCTAGTGACTGGTAAAAAGCTGACATCTATTAAAACTGGCCTATATATGTAGAATTAAATCTAGCACAGTAGCAGAGGAGATCATCAGAATAGTCTTTTTGCACAAGTAAAAAGTTGAGTTATCTGTATCTGTTTGAGTGCAAGTTCGGGATTGTATAGAAACACTTGAGTTGTTTATTAGATGTTGAAGAATTGATGGTGGTTATTAAATTTTAATGAGGATGTTGGATTGTGATATTAGGTGGCCAATCTTGGTTCGGTAGCCTCTTAGACAACCTTCCAGTTGCCAAATAAACATTTCTCTGTGTTGTTTATTAGGACTTTTTTGACTAACGTTGATACAGCAAACTCAGTCATCACATATGACAAATTGAATTGGCTGATTGAAGTAGCTATTAAATTTTACACCATCTTTGACTTTTTTCCGATTGTTGTTAAGTTTGTTGAAAGTTTCTTGTTCAGCTGGAGTGCAGTCAGGGCGAGTAAAGATGTTTTTCGAATGAAGCAAAATTTTCGGCTATAGTTAGTAGATTGTTACAAGCTTACTGATAACATCATTCTCGTAGTTTTGTATTATATTTGTTTTACTTTTTATTTTAATAAATTTAGTATTAGATTTTTGTTCAGGGTTTATAGCCTGTTTTTTTTTCTAGGGTGTGTAGCCACCCTCGCCTATGTACAAAAAAAAAAGACAATCATTTATTTTCTTCATAGATAAAGCATTTCTTTCTTATTAATTGTGGAGGAAATATTGATTTGTTAGCAATGCTGGAAGCTGAAGAAGACACAAAGTTTTATGTTGTTGATAGGTTTGTATTGTTTTTATAGTTTAATTTACTATATTTTAATTATTTAAAATATTATTACAGAGTTGCAAAACTTCAGTTAATATAAATTCATCTGCTATCAATGTAATTACTGTTAAAAATATTTAAAATGATAACAGTTTATTTAAAATATTAAACAATAAAAGTTGTTAAAGGTTTTTCATGTGGTCTGAAATCTTTTTGTTTCATATGATCTGAAATCTAATTGTTATTGGAAGTTCATTGTAAAAAGAAGCACCGGTAAAATAAAAAGACTTATTTGCATATGCTAATTTTCACATTTGCTTTTCACAATTTTCTACCTGCCTCTTTTTTTTAAAGATCACTGTAATATCTGCATACTTTATGATGTCCAAATATTTGGGTGATTCTGATAATTCTGATAGGTCTGATAAATTGGGTGAGTCAGATAATTCTGATAGGTCTGATAAATTGGGTGAGTCAGATAATTCTGATAGGTCTGATAAATTGGGCGAGTCAGATAATTCTGATAGGTCTGATAAATTGGGTGAGTCAGATAATTCTGATAGGTCTGATAAGTTGGGTGAGTCAGATAATTCTGATAGGTCTGATAAGTTGGGTGAGTCAGATAATTCTGATAGGTCTGATAAGTTGGGTGAGTCAGATAATTCTGATAGGTCTGATAAATTGGGTGAGTCAGATAATTCTGATAGGTCTGATAAATTGGGCGAGTCAGATAATTCTGATAGGTCTGATAAATTGGGTGAGTCAGATAATTCTGATAGGTCTGATAAGTTGGGTGAGTCAGATAATTCTGATAGGTCTGATAAGTTGGGTGAGTCAGATAATTCTGATAGGTCTGATAAATTGGGTGAGTCAGATAATTCTGATAGGTCTGATAAATTGGGTGATTCAGATAATTCTGATAGGTCTGATAAATTGGGTGAGTCAGATAATTCTGATAGGTCTGATAAGTTGGGTGAGTCAGATAATTCTGATAGGTCTGATAAATTGGGTGATTCAGATAATTCTGATAGGTCTGATAAATTGGGTGATTCAGATAATTCTGATAGGTCTGATAAATTGGGCGAGTCAGATAATTCTGATAGGTCTGATAAATTGGGCGAGTCAGATAATTCTGATAAATTGGGTGAGTCAGATAATTCTGATAGGTCTGATAAATTGGGTGAGTCAGATAATTCTGATAGGTCTGATAAATTGGGCGAGTCAGATAATTCTGATAGGTCTGATAAATTGGGTGAGTCAGATAATTCTGATAGGTCTGATAAATTGGGTGAGTCAGATAATTCTGATAGGTCTGATAAATTGGGTGAGTCAGATAATTCTGATAGGTCTGATAAATTGGGCGAGTCAGATAATTCTGATAGGTCTGATAAATTGGGCGAGTCAGATAATTCTGATAGGTCTGATAAATTGGGTGAGTCAGATAATTCTGATAGGTCTGATAAGTTGGGTGAGTCAGATAATTCTGATAGGTCTGATAAATTGGGCGAGTCAGATAATTCTGATAGGTCTGATAAATTGGGCGAGTCAGATAATTCTGATAGGTCTGATAAATTGGGCGAGTCAGATAATTCTGATAGGTCTGATAAATTGGGCGAGTCAGATAATTCTGATAAATTGGGTGAGTCAGATAATTCTGATAGGTCTGATAAATTGGGTGAGTCAGATAATTCTGATAGGTCTGATAAATTGGGCGAGTCAGATAATTCTGATAGGTCTGATAAATTGGGCGAGTCAGATAATTCTGATAGGTCTGATAAATTGGGCGAGTCAGATAATTCTGATAAATTGGGTGAGTCAGATAATTCTGATAGGTCTGATAAATTGGGTGAGTCAGATAATTCTGATAGGTCTGATAAATTGGGTGAGTCAGATAATTCTGATAGGTCTGATAAATTGGGCGAGTCAGATAATTCTGATAGGTCTGATAAATTGGGCGAGTCAGATAATTCTGATAAATTGGGTGAGTCAGATAATTCTGATAGGTCTGATAAATTGGGTGAGTCAGATAATTCTGATAGGTCTGATAAATTGGGCGAGTCAGATAATTCTGATAGGTCTGATAAATTAGGTGAGTCAGATAATTCTGATAGGTCTGATAAATTGGGTGAGTCAGATAATTCTGATAGGTCTGATAAATTGGGCGAGTCAGATAATTCTGATAAATTGGGTGAGTCAGATAATTCTGATAGGTCTGATAAATTGGGTGAGTCAGATAATTCTGATAGGTCTGATAAATTGGGCGAGTCAGATAATTCTGATAGGTCTGATAAATTGGGCGAGTCAGATAATTCTGATAAATTGGGTGAGTCAGATAATTCTGATAGGTCTGATAAATTGGGTGAGTCAGATAATTCTGATAGGTCTGATAAATTGGGCGAGTCAGATAATTCTGATAGGTCTGATAAATTGGGCGAGTCAGATAATTCTGATAGGTCTGATAAATTGGGCGAGTCAGATAATTCTGATAAATTGGGTGAGTCAGATAATTCTGATAGGTCTGATAAATTGGGTGAGTCAGATAATTCTGATAGGTCTGATAAATTGGGCGAGTCAGATAATTCTGATAAATTGGGTGAGTCAGATAATTCTGATAGGTCTGATAAATTGGGTGAGTCAGATAATTCTGATAGGTCTGATAAATTGGGTGAGTCAGATAATTCTGATAGGTCTGATAAATTGGGTGAGTCAGATAATTCTGATAGGTCTGATAAATTGGGCGAGTCAGATAATTCTGATAAATTGGGTGAGTCAGATAATTCTGATAGGTCTGATAAATTGGGCCAATCAGATAATTCTGATAGGTCTGATAAATTGGGTGAGTCAGATAATTCTGATAGGTCTGATAAATTGGGCGAGTCAGATAATTCTGATAGGTCTGATAAATTGGGTGAGTCAGATAATTCTGATAGGTCTGATAAATTGGGTGAGTCAGATAATTCTGATAGGTCTGATAAATTGGGTGAGTCAGATAATTCTGATAGGTCTGATAAATTGGGCGAGTCAGATAATTCTGATAAATTGGGTGAGTCAGATAATTCTGATAGGTCTGATAAATTGGGTGAGTCAGATAATTCTGATAGGTCTGATAAATTGGGTGAGTCAGATAATTCTGATAGGTCTGATAAATTGGGTGAGTCAGATAATTCTGATAGGTCTGATAAATTGGGCGAGTCAGATAATTCTGATAAATTGGGTGAGTCAGATAATTCTGATAGGTCTGATAAATTGGGTGATTCAGATAATTCTGATAGGTCTGATAAATTGGGTGATTCAGATAATTCTGATAGGTCTGATAAATTGGGCGAGTCAGATAATTCTGATAGGTCTGATAAATTGGGCGAGTCAGATAATTCTGATAAATTGGGTGAGTCAGATAATTCTGATAGGTCTGATAAATTGGGTGAGTCAGATAATTCTGATAGGTCTGATAAATTGGGCGAGTCAGATAATTCTGATAGGTCTGATAAATTGGGTGAGTCAGATAATTCTGATAGGTCTGATAAGTTGGGTGAGTCAGATAATTCTGATAGGTCTGATAAGTTGGGTGAGTCAGATAATTCTGATAGGTCTGATAAGTTGGGTGAGTCAGATAATTCTGATAGGTCTGATAAATTGGGTGAGTCAGATAATTCTGATAGGTCTGATAAATTGGGTGATTCAGATAATTCTGATAGGTCTGATAAATTGGGTGAGTCAGATAATTCTGATAGGTCTGATAAGTTGGGTGAGTCAGATAATTCTGATAGGTCTGATAAATTGGGTGATTCAGATAATTCTGATAGGTCTGATAAATTGGGTGATTCAGATAATTCTGATAGGTCTGATAAATTGGGCGAGTCAGATAATTCTGATAGGTCTGATAAATTGGGCGAGTCAGATAATTCTGATAAATTGGGTGAGTCAGATAATTCTGATAGGTCTGATAAATTGGGTGAGTCAGATAATTCTGATAGGTCTGATAAATTGGGCGAGTCAGATAATTCTGATAGGTCTGATAAATTGGGTGAGTCAGATAATTCTGATAGGTCTGATAAATTGGGTGAGTCAGATAATTCTGATAGGTCTGATAAATTGGGTGAGTCAGATAATTCTGATAGGTCTGATAAATTGGGCGAGTCAGATAATTCTGATAGGTCTGATAAATTGGGCGAGTCAGATAATTCTGATAGGTCTGATAAATTGGGTGAGTCAGATAATTCTGATAGGTCTGATAAGTTGGGTGAGTCAGATAATTCTGATAGGTCTGATAAATTGGGCGAGTCAGATAATTCTGATAGGTCTGATAAATTGGGCGAGTCAGATAATTCTGATAGGTCTGATAAATTGGGCGAGTCAGATAATTCTGATAGGTCTGATAAATTGGGCGAGTCAGATAATTCTGATAAATTGGGTGAGTCAGATAATTCTGATAGGTCTGATAAATTGGGCGAGTCAGATAATTCTGATAGGTCTGATAAATTGGGCGAGTCAGATAATTCTGATAAATTGGGTGAGTCAGATAATTCTGATAGGTCTGATAAATTGGGTGAGTCAGATAATTCTGATAGGTCTGATAAATTGGGCGAGTCAGATAATTCTGATAGGTCTGATAAATTAGGTGAGTCAGATAATTCTGATAGGTCTGATAAATTGGGTGAGTCAGATAATTCTGATAGGTCTGATAAATTGAGCGAGTCAGATAATTCTGATAAATTGGGTGAGTCAGATAATTCTGATAGGTCTGATAAATTGGGTGAGTCAGATAATTCTGATAGGTCTGATAAATTAGGCGAGTCAGATAATTCTGATAGGTCTGATAAGTTGGGTGAGTCAGATAATTCTGATAGGTCTGATAAATTGGGTGAGTCAGATAATTCTGATAGGTCTGATAAATTGGGCGAGTCAGATAATTCTGATAAATTGGGTGAGTCAGATAATTCTGATAGGTCTGATAAATTGGGTGAGTCAGATAATTCTGATAGGTCTGATAAATTGGGCGAGTCAGATAATTCTCA